GGGACCAAAATTGATCAACTTACATTTCTCATAAATTAAAGGCTAGTGTTTGTTTGATCATTTTTCTTGCAGTACTTTGGGTAATGGGGTTGAATGATTGAGTTTTATTACCACAGTGAAAACTACTATATGCATAAACATTTTGAAAGTGGAATGAGAGTGAGTACTTCCTGTCATGCTGTAGAAAGTGTATAAATCATGTTATTTTTTTGTTGTCACAATCTTAAGGAATGTTGCATTTCTTGTAATCAAGGGGAAATCATGCAGTAACAGGGTTTCACAAAAATGTTGCAAAACGCTGAAATTTAAATATTACTTTTTGGTAGTAAAAAGTATGCATTGAAATATATGTATTATTGTAATAATAATAATATTATGCATTAATTAAACTGCTGATTGTCATATATACACTGAACAAAATTATAAACGCAACACTTTTGTTTTTGCCCCATCAAATTATTTTCAGTTTAATAGATGCAAATATTTTTGTTGTTTTATATTAATTGTTACAGTCGAAGTTCAAGACCAATCTGTCACTTCAACAGATTTTCATCACACACACACACACACACACAACATGCAAAAACAACAGACATGGACACCTGTGCATCATCCATAAGTTATATTGATTGAAATATATGTCAGATCAAGCAGTGGTCAGTGTTGTGAAGTCATAAACACCATCCATTTTTCCCAGAATTGGAAATATTTGTCCATCCATAGACTGAGACTGAAGTAGACAGACTGAAAAAGTCATTCTCCATCCAGTCAGTCTTTGTTGGAGGTATTACAGCTTTCTTGCTTCTTCTAATAGTGTCTTTAATAGATACTTGGCTTTCACTATCAAATGAGCTGATATGTTACCCAAATACACTGTAGAAGAGAGCAGTCAGTTTCATCACCAAAACCTCCTGCCAGTAAGATCAATCTATCAATAGATTTTTCAAATATTTTATTATTTTATTTTGTTGTAATTATTACATACAACCAAAGAAGGTCAAGACCTCTGATGTGGGACAGGCTACAAATCTCCATTTTAAGGTGGGATAAATGTGTTTAATACTAAGTAGTTTTCATGCTAGCTGAATTTTATGCTATTTATTAAACGTATCTAATAGGTATCATAACAAAAAGTGTGATTTTTTTTTTTTTTTTTTTGGTTCCTCTAATGCTTAAATTCTTGGGACACCAAAGTAACCATTTTTGTGATGCATGCACCCTTATTTTTTATTCTTCTTTTTTTTTCTTACTACATTCTTATGTGAAGATGTCATTTTGCCTGCTTGCACAGTTTCCAGCCACAGGACTGTGTTCATATTAGAGAGTTCATAACAGAGGCTTCTTAGGAGCTCATCACAGCGAGCTCATTCTGCAAGGCCTGAATCATGGCACTGTTTCCAATTTGGGAGATTTTCCAACAAAAGGCTGTTTAGGCCTGCTTTCCTTCCCTGCATCTGGGAAGATCATGTCCTCAGTATCCACATTTTTATCCAGGTTCACGTCAAGTGCTTCCACTTAGTGGCTTATAAGCCCTTACACCTCTTAAGTGGATTTAGGTTGTGTATATTGACATACTTAGCATGGCTTTGCAAGAGAGCACATTCAGGATTTCCCCTCGTTATCGCTGAGCATATACTGTGTCATTTCAGTTCATGCGAAGGCCGGCATCTCCACTAAACACTTGCCTTTCCTCACTCTGCTTTTGAATACAGCACTTGTTTCAGGATTTTTGCTGCCTGGTTGAAGGAAATGAAGAGCAAGTCATTTGCATGTCTTCACAGCTTCTCGATGGGCATCTGTAATGTAAACTGAGGTGGAGGGAAAGGCTGAGGTAGTTCAGTGCTCTGTAACATCATCAAGACAAACATCCATGTGAAGAAAGAGCCGTCAGCTACTTGTATTTTCAGTAGGAACGCACAAGTCTAGTTCCATTGTCTCAGTACGTACAGACAGTAAACGTTGTCATTTACTGCAGATTAATCTCAAAAGTAAAATCTCAAGAGAAGGCAGGGCATGTCACAATGAGACACGAGGAATGAGGGTTAAATATCAGTTTGCTATTTTTGTTGTAGATTCAATATCATTTATTTCTTGTCATTCTTTTTACTGTGGGTAACCAATCTTAATACATCAGGGAATACATGTGCTATTTTTATCAGTGCTGTATGAGTAAAAGACTTGACAGTGATGAGCCTTCTCTCATGGCTGCCTGTTTTGCACTGACCCCTTGTGGCCATGCGGAGTTACAGCTAGCACTCAGGTCAATTCAAGATATTATTTTTATTTGTTTTGTTTGTTTGTTTTGTATTTTTCTTTATTTTCTTTCTTTTTTTCTTATATTTTGCTGTTTCTTTTATTCTGTCTGTGCCATAGAGTCTTATAGGCAACACTGACATTTCGAAAAACTGCACCTTTTATTTTTATTACTTAAGTTTTGTTTTATTATTTTACCTTGTTTTATTTTAATTTTTATTATATCATTATGATATAATTTATATAATTTTTACTTATTTTTTTACATTTTTATCTTTTTAAATTAATTTATTTTAATGAATTTATATTTTTTTTTTTTTTTTTTTTTTTTTTTTATTATATCATTATGATATAATTTATATAATTTTTACTTATTTTTTTACATTTTTATCTTTTTAAATTAATTTATTTTAATTAATTTATATATTTTTTATTTTTTTTATTTTTGGGGCAGACCATATATGATAATATTGATTACTACGGAAGACCAAAGGGGACTATGGGCAAAAGTCTTGACATTTAGCAAAACTGTGCCTTTAATTTTTATTTATCACATTTATGTTTTCTATTATTATTATTATTATTTTGTTTTTTACCCATTTTATTTTGTTTTTTTTCCCCCCAGTATTTTTATTTTATTTATTTTTTCTTTTATTTCTACTTTTGTCTTTTATTTTTTTTCACCATCTATGATTATATTTATTATTATGGAAGACCAAAGGGGACTATGGGCAACACTCTGACATTTAGCAGTACTGTGCCTTTTATTTGTAGTATTATTATTATTATTTTATTTATTTATTTATTTTCAGTTATTTAATTTTATTTATTTTTCTTTTATTTTTAGTTTTTTCTTTTATTTTATTTTTGTCTTTATATAGCTTTTTATTTTGGCCATGTCATATAGATTTGGGATGGATAGCACTCACAGCTGCGCCTCATATGACCTGAGTTTGAGTCCTGGCTCGAGGTCTTTAGCCAATTCTGTGCCCCTCTCTCGGTCTCATCTATACACACACATATATGCATTTATTTTATTATATCATATATTGTATGTGTGTATCTGTATCCGTCACTTTAGAATAAATGTTTCTCTCTCTTTGACGTTCAGATCGCTAAGCTCAGGCTCCAGCTGCAGCGCAGTAAGCAGAGCGGAGGCCGGCAGTGTAAGGACAGTAAAGAGCGTCTCTCCCCCCTCCACTGCTGTAGCAGCAGCACCTCCATTACTGCCACTACCATCAGCACAGCCAGCCAAGCTCCGGTCCGCACACATTACATCAGTGTATGCACTAAACACATCCAGCAAATTCTGTGCAGTTAGTTAAATGTGAATTTGTGTCGTCTCCGTGTTCAGTCATCCATGTCGAAGTCAGCACAGATGCCGCTGTCCAACATCACAGTGCCAAAGGCCTCCATCTCCAGGGTTCCCAGCAGCATGGAGGGCATCAACCATGAGCTGGAGAAAGTCTTCATCAAAGACAACGGCGAGAAAGAGGAGCTCAAGGTGCAGGCACACTCCTAAAGACTTAATCACATTACGTACAAATGTTTAGCATGAAAAACAAATGCATATTATTGAGTACAATGGCAGATTTGGTGAAAAAATATAGATGTTTTATATTTTTATACTGTACTTAATAAAGTAATAAGCCCCAAGAAGCCGTGGTTTACAGTAAATTTATAACAGCTAAGGGGCGTTGTTAGGCACGACGCGAAGCGGAGCTGTTATAAATTCACTGTAAACCACGGCTTCAAGGGGCTTATTGCGTTTATAAAACGGTTATTCCATATACGTAGTTAGGTTTCACAGAATAAAACAGAGCAAATAAAGTGTAATGATATTAATAAAAACAGCATTCTTCCACCAAACAATGTAGTTCCTCAGAATCAGTTGTGGTTGCAACCATAGATATGTATAGATGCCCCATTTCGATGGCTCCTGGCACATAGATGCGGCCGCCATCTTGGAACGGTCAACTTGACGTCATTCACCATACTGTAGGTTCTCACAGAGCCGTTGAGCCGTTCTGTGCAGGATTGTGGCATCTTTCGAATATTCAGTGATTACTATGGTGAATGACATCAAGTCGACCGTTACAATATGGCAGACAGCTTAAGTATAGTGACACATAGAAACAGTCGCTAATGAGGCATCTACGTGTATATATATCTATGGTTGCAACAAAGTGGTTGCCAAGCAACAGACAAACGTAAATAAAGGTGTATGTTTGTAGAGTAATTTACAACAGCTTCGAACGCGGCTCAACCAATCAGAATCAAGGACCGGAACTATCCGTTTTATTTAAAAAAATTGCCTAAAAACTAATCTAAAATATTTTATTATAAACAAAAAATTTGTTGTTTTTTTAAAGAAGTCTCTTCAATGCTCTATATAATTGATAAAAAATGCACTAAAAACTGTGATATTGTGAAATATTATTACAATTTAAAATAATGGTTTCCTATTTTAATATATTTTAAAATGTAATTTATTCCTATTAATCAAAGCTGAATTTTCAGCGTCATTACTCCAGTCTTCAGTGTCACATGATCTCCAG